TTCTAAATGATGACATATATCAGTGAAACTTTCTCTCTATAGTATCACAACTAATACCGGTATAATTATAATGTCAGCAGGAGCTTTCAAGAATAACTTTTTTTAATTTAAAATTTCTTTATACAAGTTTTTTTTTGGTAGTCTTCGTTGACATATCAACTTTTTGTTTCAATCTTTTAAACAAAATTAACGTAAACTAAATTAAAATTTATCGACAGGTTTTAAATTTTGTAAAAAAAATATTGAAAATTACAAAAGTTATGACCATGCAAGTTTTCCGAATCTCCCAAAATGAGGTGGGTGTAAACTTTGTTTGGTCATAATATTTGTAATTTAAAATATTTTTCAACGAAATTTAAACTCTCTCAATGAGTTTTAATTTAGTTTACGATAGTAATGTTCAAAATTTTACTGCATTAGTACCCTCACGTTTTGGGCAGGAGGGGGCCAGCGTTTTAGGGCTTTTTTTTCCCAAGCCTACGCCATCCCAAATTTTCGTAAGGACTCCTCACATAGCATAGGTATAAACATGGGTAAGTTTGGACTATGCTCATTGTGTGAAAGCGTCATTTCTTAAACATCATGTCGACGCTCGTGCAGTGGTATCCTACTAAAATCTGAAAATTAAAATCTTTTAAAAGCAACATTTTTTAAATCAATAAATAAACTTTTTCTCGGAACCAAAGGACTTTATGTACACAACCTAAAATATTAAAGTCAACTAAAAAGTTTAATTATATTTTTAATGATTTCTTTTTATCAACGTTGAACTCATGTTTGTTTGGCGCGGACAATAATATAAATAAACCAAGGAGACAGTAAGTTAATAAAAATTGTTGTAAGAAAAAAGGTTGCAAACTGTCATCAGTAATGACTTTAATGATGAATTTATGTTTCGAGGAATAAAAATAAAGTTTTACTCAGTTAATTTGAATTTGCATATTATTTTATTGAAGATGTCAAAAAACTGTCACGTGCTCAAAAAAGAAAAAAATTAGCTAAGGACTAGTGCCGGATTTACTATAGGGCATTTTGGTTCAAAGCCCGGGACCTATCAAATATTGGAGACCCCACATATAAATGTGCTCCCCCCGGCCCCTTGATGTTGTTGGCCCTGATAAAAGACAAACTTTCTGCAACTTACAAGAACAACTAGGATGCATCCTTCTTTGAAATTGAGTTTGTGAAGGTGTTTGATGAAGAACGAATAGACGTAAGCATAGAAAATACTGTATGTTCACTTATACACAAGAAAGGTGTTCAAAATGAGTTACGCAATGTTGAGATTCTATGTATTTTGGTGATAAAAAACTGTTCGGCGGAAAAATGGTTTTATAAAACGAATTTGATCAAAAATAGGCTGCATACATCAATTCTTCAAAAATGGCTCACTAACCTGACTCTTAAAAGTACTTAAAGTGACATAATGAAAATGAAATTGCATGATATCATCAACAACTTTGCTCACCAAAAAGCAGAGAACACATTTTATTACTTATTCCTGGTAAAAACCTAACACCATTACTATAGAAAGTCAGGCAAACTGGCTCTATTCCTATAGAAAGTGTAACACACTTACTGAGTGCATACTATTTCCTGCGTCATTTATTTTTTTAATTCTATTGGTAATAAACTCATACCATTATTCGAATCACTAGGTTAGTAAATGCATAATCAGTTATACTGAAAAGCAAAAGAGCCTTATACTAAATTTTGGCCTTACCGAGGGCTCTGAAGGAGCCTATGAAGCTGTGTTAAAGCCAAAGTGCCAAAGTTGCTAAGTGTGCCACAGCTACCAAAATTTTTTTCTATCCTCAAGTTCTTCACAACCTTGCGAATCAAAATTTTTATGTGGTGAAAACTCTTTAAAAGCATCTAGTGAGACCTCCACTAAGTCTAAATCTTACCACGAGTATAATATAGATAATGCGAGTAACCCTCTGTTGTGTAATTCAACTTCCTCAACTAGTTTTGCCACCTGTTCATCAACTTTATCTTTGGATATTTTTAGTCAAAAATTTCAGGAAACATTAAAGTAAAACAAAGAGCCGAATGTAATTTAAAGCCTATAATAGTTGAAACAGATAGTAGTGTCACAATTACAGAAGATGCTTTTCACAGAGGTGACACTTGTTGATTATTATCTAATAAATAGTCCACTTCGCCGGAACGGCTGGCGGTAAGAGAGAGAGAGAGAGACTGCATCATCAAAATGGATCCATTTTTTTTTTGAAGAGTAATAAGGAAAATCCGAAAACCAATCAACTTCTCAAATGGATTTTAATACAGGGTAACAGGAAAAGTTAAACAAGTAAAAAGGAGATGGCTTGTATACTCTCCAGAAATTGATTCACATTATTGTCTGTTTTACCCAACTCCAAAATAATTTTTTTTTGAGGTTTTCAAGTTATAGTCGGATTTTTTAAGAATAAAGTCAGCTAGTTGGGTATTTGACATATTTGAGTTGTGTGATATTTAGTTTTGAAAGTTTTTTTCAGAA